AGCATGAAATTTGCTCCTATTTATAGAGATGAAAAGAGGGTAATCTCGTCTTCAATGGGGAAAAATTCTTAGCCCTTGATTCGACTCGAGGAATCCAGACCGTTGGCTCAAAATGTGCACCTCAAACTGTCAAATTTGACAAATCCTAGGCTGCAGGCTGCCCGAGGTGGCCACTTTAGGCCGACAAACGGAGCCTTTTTGAATCTTATAAACCTCACCGGACAATTCACTAGGCTAGAGGGGTTGTAGGTGGACATGTTGGTGCACGTGTAGTTGGATTTGGTGGCCAAACGAGGCAGAAAATGCGCCTGGAACGTTGCTACTCGGGCAGCTTTCAGGGGAAGACAATGAACAGTAACCTGTTTTTTTTTTAACTCATAAAACTTCAACTTCAGCCCCGAATTTACGCGTCTTTTTCATTATAGCCCTTGGTCTTGGATTTATGCAATTTCACCCCTAATTGACCATTAAACTTTCAATTTCATCAATTTGACCCCTGATTTCACTTAATTAACTTGGTAAAAATTAAATTTGGTTTCTTAAAATTTTAATCGTCTCAATTAAGCCCAAATTAGACTCCCAAACTTAATTTTTTCACCAATTAAGCCCTAAATAAAATTAATTTAACCCATTTAAAGTATAATTAAGTCCTTGCACTTAATTAAATCCTTCAATTGGACCTAAATTAATTCTTGAACATAATTAAAATTCAATTTGGCCCATGATTAAATTAAATTGGCCCATTAAAAATTTAATTATATCATTGGACTTAATTTTTATGCAAATTCGTCAAATGCTCATTTAATTTGACCTTTGAATTTGTATTTTTCTATTTTTGGGCATATTAGGGTACAATTAGGCCTTGAAATTACTTCCAAAATTACAGCTTTATTTTTTTCTATTTTTACAATCTTTCTAGATCAGCTTTCTCCACATTGCCAGTCTTTATTTTATTTTATTTTATTATTTTTTTTAAGAAGTGGATTTTGGAGAATAACCCAGAATTGGGTTATGACAACCTCTTTTTTTCATAAGTGGATTTAAAGCTTGTAAATGAATTTGTTAGGGTTCCAACAAACTAAAACTAGATTGGTTTCATCACAAGATTAATAATTTTGGATTTAGGTGGTTTTGTAACAAACTTAAAGACCAAGATAAAGTGTTTCTAGCCTTTTAATCTTGAAAGAAAGGTTTTAAACCCTTGATAAGAACCATCTTGAAGTTTTTAAATGTGAACATATGAAAGAGTTTGGTGGTTTTATGCAAATAAGTGTCTCAATTAAGGCTGACTAGGTTGGTCATTTTCATGGCTTCGTCGGAGCAACATCGATGTCAACGTTTCTTGAGACCACTTGATTGTGGTAAAGAAGTGCATACCTTTATGTTAGATCTAATCTTTCTCAATTTGAAGGTTGGTAGCTACACATTTATTTGTTTGAAAGTGTCAACCCGATCAACATAGAATCTGAAAACGTAAGAGTGGTTAATCAAAGATAAGATGTTACTGAGATCAAATATGGTATAAATGTGTGATTTCATAGAAATGAGGTTATAAAGGAAGTGTTTTTAAATTGAATAGTAGTGGTTATAACCTCAAAGGTGATTAGCAACACCACATTACCGAAGAAGAAGGTGCACAATAGCTAAACGATGTCGTAAAGGTTAAACCCTATAAATTAGAGTTTTTTAATTTTAGATCTAGCACAACTTAATCTAATCCCTATTCTTCTTATTTGTTTTAATTTAACCTCTATTCTTCTAATTAGGTAGTTAATTAGTATTTAAAAGTGCATTCTTATTAAAATTTTATATCATCATATTACACTGAAAGTATCATTAAATTCTTTAACTTAAGCATGTTTTATAATAACAAGTTTGATAATATAAGATAGCTTTAATTTATGATAAATATTCATTTTAAATGCAGACATATCTCATAATTGAAATGATTAACTATTGAAAGTGAAAGGACAAAGAAAAGGTTACGTTTAGAAAAAAGATGTTGATTCAATTCAAACTGGAACACCGTTGATTCATAATTGAAATGGCTAGTTGATCCTCTAGCCTTAATATTTTTTATCATTATTTAATCCTCACATTAATCTTACATCTCAAAATCCTCTTTAACTTATTATTATTATTATTATTATTATATAGTTAATCTCCCTGTGGTTCAATTTCGGTCTTGTCAGGTTATTTATTACTTCAATACTCCTACACTTAAGAGAAAATATCAATCTTTTGATTGTGTCATCAGTCTTACAAACATTTGCTCTCACTCCATCATGTGCCTCTTATGTATCGACAACAAAATTGATATCCAAGCTTTTCTTTTACTCCCACTTTCCCTCTCACCAAATTCATTTCCTACTTGAAAATTTATTGGGAATGTTTATAAGTAGTTTCTATTAAATAATTCATTCATTCATTTATCAAAAACTTATATATATATATATATATATATATATATTTCTTTGATCTTTTAGGAATATTTTGATTTTGAAATTACTGTTTAGTGAAGTTATTTGATATTCTTTATTATTGATATCTTAGATAACATCTTGATTTTTAATGGAATTAGGTGAAAACTTTTTTAAAAATTACGCTTCAATAAAAATTCTTTAACTTCAAGTATTAAAATGTTTAAAATAGATTATAATTAAAAAAAAATTATATTAAAAATCTTTTAGTTCACATGTTTTTACAAATTCAAAACACACAATCTCACATTAAAAAATTATTTGTTGTAGATTATATAATAAAAAATTAAAGATTTAAAATTTAGCCCATACATCAAAATCTTTAAAGAGAACATGTGCAAGGCTAAGTGATAAGTCGTGGGTTTTAGACACGCAGACTTGCTATGCTTGGCCCGAAAGTCCAGGCTGGATAAAATAATTTGAGTCGACAAAAATTATTATATGTCAACCCATGATTAAGCTGTGTAACCATTCTTTACCTAAACAATTTATTTTCAATAGGAAAACATCTTATTTTAAGGCAAAAGTTTTTTTGTCAAAATCTTTGTATGTGGTGGATAATTCAAGCAATACAATGAGAATTAATTATAATAATTATTAAAATTATTTTTACATCAATTTTAATTTTAAAAATCATGGTAAAAAGGGGTGGGGAGGTGTTTTGTACACTACGTAGTAGTGTTTACGTTATTTGTTATCTTTTCTACTTAATTTTACTTTAATCATTCTGGAGTTTAGATTTAGATTATTTTAAAGAGATTTTCAGCTTCTTTTTTAAGTTTGTAGACCTCAATTAATAATATAACTAATTAAGATAATGATGTTGAATTTCTAAAAGGTTAAATACATTCAATCTATTTACACCAAATAACAAGACTTTGATGACAAATATACTTTTTATATCTTTCATACCATCTAAATACTTTAAAAAGTTAGAATATACATAATATTCTGATATTGTTTTTTTTTTTTAAATATTTTTAAATATTTATTTTTATTTTTGTACTTTAAATTAATATATATTTTTTTATATCACTTTAAAATATTAATATTAAAAATAGTTTTTTAAAATAAAAAAAATATTATTTTAATATATTTTAAAATAAAAATAATTTAAAAAACAACCATTACTATACTTATAAATACTACTCTCTTCTTGAGATATTACAAATACAATTCTTTAAGAACATCAACCTCCGATTTGTAATTTATCTTTAAATTATTTTATACTTTGTTATGTTACAAAACTAACAAAGTGAGGGTTCCTTGCAAAATTCATCTAGTTAAACCAAACATATTAAAAGATTTAAAACAAATTACTCGTCATTTAAATCTATCGCGCACACTTGGTTTTAAAATATTGAGAAATGCCGAATCTCCCGTCTTTTGGCTTTTCTTTTAATATAAAAAAATTATTATTTTTTATAATTCTTTAATATATTTTTGTTTTTTATTTTTATTTTTATCATAAATGGATGGTGATGGAGTTGTCCGCCAAATCCCAACCCCCTTTGCAAATTGTGTGATCCGTATTAGAGGCGTAACCAGACGGCTACCCACCGTTTACTCGTTCCCTTCCCTTCCAGCTCAGCAACACTCCAAATAAGAAAGATATAAACTAATCATTCAAGGTGCGTGGACTCCACTGCCTCGGTTACTTAATTTTGGTTTTTATATGCGAACACTTTTTTATTATTATTATTATTATTATTATTATTATTATTATTGTTATTGTGGTTTGATAAATTTCTACAAGTAAAAATGTAAATGTTTGGTAAAAGATTCTCCCTTGAGAGAAGTTTGTTTTTTATACATGTTCGATTATTATTCATAAATCTCAATAACTTCTTTCTCCTTTCTTTTTACCTTGATGTTATTTTTAAGTTTAATGTCAATAAAATATAATTTTTAAGGGAATCTCACTATTTTACTTGGAAAATATTTCATATGGCTTTTTTTTTATTTACATATTTTTAATTTTACTTATATAAAAAATATTTAAAATAACCTCGCTAACTTGTGTTTAAATTAAATAATTCTATCTAAATATTTAAATCAAACCTTAAAATTATACAAATAAATAAATATTTATAATTTTATTTAGTTTGATAACTGAAAATTAAGTAGTAATAAACGTGTAAAAAAATATTTTAGAGAAAAAATTTAAATATAACAATAGATAAAAACAAAATAAGGTTTTAATATCTCATAAATTTTTTAAATAAAAAATTATTTTAAAATTAAAAATTAACTTTAAAATATTTTGATTTTTTTCTATGACAATATAATCCGACATAAACTCTTTTTTTATTTTTTCCTTACAAACAAACAGGAAAGTTCTAATACCGCATAACACACGCGTGCTCGAAGAGCGTGGTCCTTTGCTCTCACTCTCAGTTTCCTAGCAATATCCGCCTCCACTAGACGCCATAGATAAGGAAAAGCAACCAAGAAGTCTTCCGGAAGGATCATCCTAAGACGTGGCGTTTCATAATTGGAAGCTGCAACAGGGTATTCCCGTAATTTCACCATCAAATTTCTATGATATATTGAGACGCTCCAGCTCTCTTCTCCTCACAGTTGTGATTATTTCTTCTCTATCAAAATCTTTAAACAGTTCTCATTCAAGGTATGCCTCTCGTGTCCGATTCTCTAGTTTTTTCTTTAATTTATTTTTTAATAAATAACTCTTACAAGATCTGTTAGTGTTTTATGGATCAGTCCTTAATAATCGTTTATTGATGACATTAATCTGTTTTATTTTTTTATCTGGATATTACGACGTTGTTATCGATTCTATTGTTTAGATCTCGATTGATGCGGGTAATCGAGGGCCCTTTCCATTTTTTTTTTCAAAATTTGATCAATTGATGTATTCTGTCAAGACCTGTTAAGTGTTTTATGGATAACATAGATCTGCCTGATGTTCATATTTGTTTATCTCGATCTTAGGGATCTATTATTTACTTTGTTGTTTAGATCTCGATTGGTCGGTGTTTTCAAGGGCCTCTTAAGATTTGATTGATTAATTAATTAATTAATATGGATCATGTTTCTATTCGTTTAATTTTGATGCTATTTTGATTAAAGGAAACGATTGTCTTTTTCTTTTGAAAAAAAAAGATCAATTGACTTTGTTTGCTATTGTTAATGATCTGAAGGATTGTTATGTTGAGATCTGAATCTAGTTTGTCTCTGATTTTTATTTCTTGGGGTTGTCAGATGCAAATCTTCGTCAAGACTCTTACTGGCAAGACCATCACCCTTGAGGTGGAAAGCTCAGACACTATTGATAATGTTAAGGCCAAGATCCAGGACAAGGAGGGAATCCCACCAGACCAGCAGAGGCTGATTTTTGCTGGCAAGCAGCTTGAGGATGGCCGCACCCTTGCTGATTACAACATCCAGAAGGAGTCCACCCTCCACTTGGTGCTTCGTTTGAGAGGTGGTATGCAAATCTTTGTTAAGACCCTTACTGGAAAGACCATCACCTTGGAGGTGGAGAGTTCTGATACCATCGACAATGTCAAGGCTAAGATCCAGGACAAGGAAGGCATTCCCCCAGACCAGCAGAGGTTGATCTTTGCCGGCAAGCAGCTGGAGGATGGCCGCACCCTTGCTGATTACAACATCCAGAAGGAGTCCACCCTCCACTTGGTGCTTCGTCTACGTGGTGGTATGCAGATCTTTGTGAAGACACTCACTGGAAAGACCATCACTTTGGAGGTTGAGAGCTCTGATACCATCGACAATGTCAAGGCCAAGATCCAGGACAAGGAGGGCATTCCCCCAGACCAGCAGAGGTTGATCTTTGCTGGCAAGCAGCTCGAGGATGGCCGCACCCTTGCTGACTATAACATCCAGAAGGAGTCCACCCTCCACTTGGTGCTTCGTCTACGCGGTGGTATGCAGATTTTCGTGAAGACTCTAACTGGGAAGACCATTACCTTGGAGGTGGAGAGCTCTGACACTATCGATAATGTAAAGGCCAAAATTCAGGACAAGGAGGGGATCCCACCAGACCAGCAGAGGTTGATTTTTGCTGGAAAACAGCTTGAAGATGGAAGGACACTTGCTGACTACAACATACAGAAGGAGTCAACCCTTCACTTGGTGCTTCGGCTGCGTGGAGGAATGCAAATCTTTGTTAAGACTTTGACTGGAAAGACCATCACCCTGGAGGTGGAGAGTTCAGACACCATTGACAATGTCAAGGCTAAGATCCAGGACAAGGAAGGAATCCCCCCTGACCAGCAAAGGTTGATCTTTGCCGGAAAGCAGTTGGAAGATGGGCGCACCCTAGCAGACTACAATATCCAGAAGGAGTCCACCCTTCACCTTGTCCTCCGTCTCCGTGGTGGTTTTTAAGCTTCCGCATGTTGCCTAGGGTCGTTCATGCCTTGGGTGGCTCTTTGTGTGTGCTCAGTAGCCATCTTCGAACGGCTACTTCAAATAAGTTACTGTACTCTTTTCAAGTTGGTTTTTGCGTCCAGTTTGGTACTGTTTGGATTGGCTGTTAAGGGCCGTTCCATTGCAAGCTTTGGTATTTAAGCAAATAAATTATAAGTTTTCTATACAATAAATAAAATATTAATATTAAAAAAAAATCCGAATACAGGATGACTGTAACACCTTGGACACCATTGATAGTATAAAGGATGGTGATGGTTTCAAGATTTACAACCAGAAATACTAGGCTTATGACACAGAACAAGAGGTAATGCAAAAGCCCATAAATTAATGTGTGTAGTGTATCCGAGGACTCAAAGCTAAAGTGCAAAATATACTACTTAGGATTATTTATTTTAATCAGCATAGTAAACTTAAAGTTTCGACGTCACCCCACTTGTAAAATTTTTTTTAGTAAAATAGCATATATTAATATTGTTGTGCATTGAAAGTGCGATGTTAAACCTCTATCGATATTGACCGAGACCCTCATTATCTCTTAAAAAAACTCGCGAAACACTTTCATATTACCATTAAAACAATAAAAAATTAAACCCATCATAGTTTCTTAAAATTATGAAATTTTGAACTCTCTAATTCATAATTAGTATTATTTAAATAAAATAAACTCATATCATGTATAATTTAACCAATTTATTTGTCATTTTCTTGGACAAGAAAAGCACTAACTTTGTTAAATGATCTCCAATGACCCAGTCACGTTGTTGTTGTTCTTTTTCCTAAACAATAAAATTCATGATGATATCTTTCTATTTTAGTTATTAGCAATGAAAGAGTTGTTCTTTTTCCTATGCAATAAAATTCATGATGATATCTTTCTATTTTAGGTATTAGCAATGAAAGAGTGAAAAAGTTTTTCAAAACTAGTTATGTCAATGTGGTTATCATCCCTTCTTTTCAAGCTCAAAACATAAAAAAAATTCAAAATTGTACAATAGTTAAAATAGTCTAATTATTTTTAAAAATGATATGATCTTTTTCCTAAATCGATCTTGAATTATAATTGATATTGTGGTTTATAAATGCTATAAAATTATAATTAATATTGTATATCAGAACTGCGATACTAATAAAATATCACGGCTTAAAACTATAATATTAATTATAATTTTGTCGTCGTTTTCAACCTTAACATGTAACCAAATATCATGTTTTTGAACCGTGGTATTAGTTAAATATCTTATTTCTGAACCACAACTTTTTTATATTATACTATTTAACTAAAACTTTTTTCTTCTTGTGTTAATTTACTATTTATTTGCATTTTGTATATTAATTTCCCAATTTATCCTTCAAATTAAGGAATGCCATGTGACTCCATATTTTATTGGACCTAGGATGTCTAACATTATTTTTAAGAAGCTTACTGGCCTACAATCCATTAGTTCTTTGAATGGGTCTAAGATGATTACATGCTTTTTTTTTTTTTGAAAGCTCTCACTAGAAAAACTATTACTTTAAAGGTTGAAAGTTTAAATAACATATACGATGTGAAGACAAAGATTCAAGTATGGATCATTTGATCTTTTGCTAGCAAATAACTTGCATCATGGCGAATTACAATATTATGAAGGAAACAACTCTACATTTAGTGCTCTATCATGATTGAATGCAAATTTTTGTTAAGCCCCTCGTAGGAAAGACCAATATTACTCTTGAATATGATGTCAAACTATAATATTTTTTTTTTCAATTGCTTGTTGCTAAACTATATAGAAATCTCCTCTATGTACATTTGGCGTACATATAGAGATATCTAAATTCTTTTTCAATTTAATTAATATGGTCTGAATTGATTCCAATTTACAGGTAAGTAACTTGAAGATGAAAAGATTTTGGTTGATTATAAAATTCAAATGGAGCCAAACCTTCACTCTATTCTTCACCTACATAGTGGGATGTATATTTTTGTGAAGATTGTCATAATAGATGTCAACAGTTTGGATAACATTAGTAATATAAAGAAAAGATTCAGGACAATGATAAAAAAAAAGGTTATCTTTGTTAGGAAGTAGTTGGAAAATAATTGTTATTGATTAAAAAAGAAAAAAGAAGTTAATGGGTGCATTATACGCACAACATTCCAATTATTTGGGCTTGCCCAACGACTAGAAAATTCTAGTTATTTGGCCTAAAAAAATAAACATAGCATTTTAAGCCTTGGCTTAATCCTGACTCACCTTAGTTTGTCTAATTTTATCTCAACACATACCTTTATATACTTTTTCAAGTTCATAGAGTTACACACATGATTTTGTATGCACGCCATACATTTTATATGTAGTGTAGATACAAATTTTCTAGCCTATGACTATTTTCTAGTGATGTAACTAGCCAATATCTCCATTAATGTTGCACATGTTATAACAATCCATGAACCAACTTTCTAGAAAAGTATTTTTCTTCACTATAAGATAAATTCAAGAACTTGATGAAAAATACACAAGGCCATAAGTAAGAAAGAGGAACACAATTCCTAAGTCTTGGTCTCCACAGACAACTATTAAGGCCTAACCATTTAATCTCATAGGTAACTTTCAATCTCTAAACAATTTTAGGAATCATCAGTACCACCCAATAACTTAATTTACTACAACAACCACTCAACAATTCCTAGAACATATAATTTCTTTTACATTCTTGAACAACCACCCATATAGTCTGTTTGAGTTAGATTTTTATCTAGTTATGTTAAATCCTCACCTAAATGTTTAAAATCTCATTTTCCACAATCTCAACTGCATCTATTCACATACTATTTTTTTTCATATATCATACATTATTTTCACCTTTTATATTTTAATTAGGCATTAAAGTGCTGCTTGTCTCCATAAGGGATCATTTTATAGGAAAACTCATAGACCAACTCAAGATCATAACCCTACAAAGCCCAATTCATTTTTGAAGTTTTTCATGACTTTATCACTCATACATTAATAGATTACAACATCTAAAAGGATTCCATTCTATATCTTGGTTCTTTATCTTTGTGATGGTTTTTAAAGATCCAATAATTATGCTTTCTCTTGATAGAGTTTAATACTTTTACCAAGCTTTTCTAGGCATTTTTTTCTTTAATATGATAGTGGTTGAAATGAAAGCCTACTATTACATTTTAGTCTTTTAAATAAAGTTTTTTTTATATATATTTTTCTTCTTCAATTAATATATTTTTATTTTTTAAATGAAGTCCTCATTTTATACTTCTACTTCTACCATGTTCTTTATTTTTTTTACAGTATATTCGAGGTTTTTTCCTAGTTTATAGATATAGATACAAACTTGAAAAAAAAAATTCAAAATGATGACAGTTAAAAAAACATCGTCCTTAAACCTCTTTAATTTTGTTGAGATCTATGCAATTTGCATGTTATTTTGGGTTGTTATGGTGAATTTTTATTTAGGGATAGTTTTGATCCTTCAAATAGGTTTTCCATATATCTTGTTAACAATTTGATGTGGTAATGTCTTTTGTATGGTTTTACTTTTGTTTTCTCTTAATGTATATTTACTTTTATGGTTCTTTTTAAGGAAATCTCCTAATGAAACCATATATGTTTTCCAAGGATTCTTAAGTAATTTCTATAGCTTTTTAGAACCTTGCAAAGTTGAATGGTTTTCTTAATTATAATATGGCATTAGAGGGATTAGAACACTAGAGTTTTGCTATCGATCTAAATTAAAATAATGTTATATAGCTAGGTACTTAATCTATAGTTAAGAGTATATTAAACTGAATTTGAGGTTGGAAAGTATATTGCCATAGGTTACAATATTGCTCTAGCTTTTGAAAAAGGCATTGCTTTGAAGTTTTGTATATTTTCTTTATTAGTCATGTTTTTTATTTTTTTTTATGTTCTATTTAATAAATACATTAGCTTGATGTCTTTTTTTATAAAGGTTTTTTTTAATTAAAACTAAAACTTGTTTGTTTGATGCATTGCATATGTGATAAAATATTAAGCTAACTTTTATCTTATTCCATAAAAAGACTATAACTGCATCAATGGTCTTATATGCTTACACTGGTAATATACATATATAAATCTCCCGTATTGGTACTAGAATAAACTTCATTTACTAGCATATCATAGTAGTGCGAGCACCTCTTATATTATCCTTATCATCTTTTCTTCTTATTGCTTCTTGTGAACTACTTATAGATTGTAATGTTTTAGATTGGCACTTCTCAACCACAATCTTTAATTGGATGTAATATTGCTAAAAGAGCTTCCAATATTATAGATCATCATCATTATTAACTTCTCATAATGCTGAGTCTTAACTTATTGATTATGAAAAGTATGTTTCTAAGGTCACAAGTATTACCTTCATATCTATAGATAATACCTTTCGGTTATTGATGGTTGATCAGGTTTATCAACCTCAACAATAGTGATAATGAATTTATATATAAAGACATTGAAAATAGTTATCAAAGTAAAAAGTACTCCTAGATTTACTATTGTTATAAGCCTTGCCATTATGAATCAGTATAGTGAGTGGTTTTTTTATAGTAATTACGTTGTACTTGGTTAGTGAAATAGATATATTATGTTTTTATAAGAATTTTATATTGTGCATGTAATGAAAAGGAATATACATGTTATGGTTCACATGGGTTTGGTGTCCCAATCCTTCCTTGTATGTCTATAACAGCATGCATGTTCTTATAAGAAATATTTTGTTTGGTTTTGGAACGATACAAGAGATTATGGAGAATCTATGTTTTTAGTATGACTTTTTTATATTTGGATTATATAAAAGGTATAATAGATACATTTATGAATTAAATAGACAAGTCCAAACTCATCAAACAATCTTTTTGATGAAAATGGACATAACTTTTGTTTTGTTTCCTAGATAAAATGGATATGTCTCTATACTTTTTATTTTAAAAGTAAAGAAATTCACTCTAAAATTATCCTATAGATAAATTTATTTCATGTCTCTTTCTTTTCAAACAAATGAGTTTTTATCTTTATTGTCTCCATATTTTTTTTTCACAAGACATTAACAAAACCTTTTCTTATGGATCATATACATGTACACCACTTGTGATTACATATTTATGTTATCCTTACTCCAATGTGGATTGATTAGTACTTAAAAGAACATTTTTATCATGGTTTTATATCATCATTTTGCACTTGAAGTATCAATAACTCCTTAACTAAAATATGTTTTATAAGAATGTATCTAATAATATAAGATACCTATAAATTGTGGTAAATGTCTATTTTTAATGCAGGCCTATCACATAAATGAAAGGATTGATTGATGACTTGAAGAACTTAAATTGCAAGGATAAAGAGATGGCCAAACTTAGAAAAGAGATGTCGGTGCAATCCAAACCGGAACACTGTTCGGTAAATGGGTCATATCTGGAGCTATATATCTCAGATTTAGGTCCAATTTATATGGATAGAAAGGTAAGACATAGGCCTACAACTTTCATATGGAGCCCAAGATCTAAAAAGGCCATTATCAAGTCCAAATTGTAGCAACAACAAAGAAGCCCGAATCTGTCTTCCAGCCCGAGCACTATTCGGTATTTTGGCCATATCTGGAGTTCTAGAAGTCCAAATGAGCTGAAATTTTTACACAAGAAAGCTGAGACAATTGCCTACAACTTTCATGTTTGCAACTGGCTCCAGTTTTGACGTTATCAATGACGTTTTGGGCAGACAAGAGAAGATAAGGATTGTCACCAAGTCAAAAGTTGGTCACCCACTTATCAATTAGTCATCAAATCAATAGTTCCCATTTTTGGCCTATAAAAGGAGGCATTTGCCATGCATTTAGGCATCTTGATTTCCAGATCAAGATCATGCTCTTCCTTTCTCTCTTTGTATTTTTTATGCTTTGTTTTCATTAATATTAAGTTTATGCCTTTCATTTCCTTTCCTTTACTTAGTTAACTTTTATGTTCTTATTTTGTTTATCTATTTTGCTTTCTTTCATTATGTCTAGCTAAGTTAATTATGTCAAGGTGAAAAGGTTACACTAATGGTGTAAGAATAAGTATAATGTAAACTTAATATGGACTTTAATGTTTGATACTAACATGTTTTATATTTGCTATCTTGTTCACTCTTTAATACTTTGCTTGTTAAATGACTAATCTTGATTTATGTTATATAACACTTGGTACAACAAATGCTTGGCACTTTCATAGCCCATAATGTATGGTATAACCGACACCTGAGCTATGAAAGGAACTTGATTTGTTGTTAACATAAGTTATAATCATGAATGCTTGACGAGATTTACAAGTATTAGCATTAATTGAATAAGATGACTAATGTAATCATGTTAACAATATATAATCTGATTGGAACCTCCTTTGTGTGTGGTTTCCAATTCAATAATAAGAGTTTTATTATTGTTATTATTATTATTACTATTGTTGTTGTTGTTATTGTTGTTTTATAATTTTTTTTTATAATTTGTACAATTAACCTCCTTGTGGTTCGACCCCGGTCTTGCCGGGTTATTTATTACTTCGACACTCCTGCACTTGGGAGAAGACATCAACCTTTTAGTCGTGTCATGGATTGTGGATCCCTTTTAAAGTCGAATTTGGTTTTAATTGTGACATATGTTGCTTATATTGGCTCAAGAACTCCCTTTAAAGTTGCTCTTAGTATTTTTATGGCCTTGAAAATTTAGGCTTATTTGTTTGGATGGCTGCATTGATGTTTTTGTGTAGAAGAATTGAAAATGAAACCATGAGAATAAAGGTGTCTTTTAGTTGAATGAAATGGGTAATGAGTTTTTATAAGGGAATTTGGGTTGTGTATGTAAAGAACATGGAAGTGATGAGTTTTTTATCACAAGTTCGAATTAAACAAAGGAACAAATGCTTTTGCAATTGGATTAACTTAGTTAAGAAATTTAATGAAGAATAATTTTTAATTATATCAATTTGATAAATAATTATGCGATCAATTATTGACTAATCAATTGATTAAGTTTCTTGTTTCCAATTAAAACAAAAATATATGGTTAAGAACTGAATTATAAGCAGAGAAAAGTAGCAATATAAATATTCAAATATTTCAAACCTTAAAAAATATATATCTAACCAAATGAGAATGTTTAAATACTTCAAACCTTAAAAGTATATATCTATCCTAAGTAGCAGCATACACAAGAAGAATAGGTAAGGATAAATAAAGCAAATAAAAAAATATAACAATAAATAAAAAGATAATTGAAGAAATAAATATATATGGAGTTGACTATTTTTTTCTAGATGGCCTATTTATACATATAGAATGTTTAAATTCTATCTAAATAAGTAATTCTAATCATAGGGGTTATAATTTGGTTCTTTGCACGCCCGAAGAGATACCAGAGAATTCAGTAAATTCAGAGTCCTTGCGAGTTCTTTTTTTCCTTCTCTTTTTACTGTTCAGAATATTCTTGAAAACATTTCTTATATAAACCATGATTCAAAATTAGCATCTTACAATTTGGCATTGCAATCTTTCATTGCAGAGTTGCTTAAGGCGTATTCATCGAGGAATAAGTTTTCGCTTGGTTTACCGATTAGAAGTCCAAGCAAATGATAATTAGAGATGATATGTTTGCTACTATATATCATCAAAGCCAAGCTGCATTGCTTTTTTATTGCATGCGTACATTTTACATGAGCTGATAAACTCAAAAGGTAGACGTACTTTTATTATGGCGCAAGTACTTGCATAAACAGCCTGATCGATGTGCTAGACTTACTTTTATTCCATAAGTGCTTGCATAACAGCCTGATGTGACTATTAAACATGCATACCGCTCACAAGCCACTCTACGAGTGAGTGAACTTGATTGCTAACTAGCTAGCACATCATATGATCCTAAAACAGCATCTAGAACCAGATTGATTGGTATTGACAATCGGGCAAGCTGCACTGTCTTTGTATTTCGGTTGCCCTCCTCTGTACCTCCCGCGTCTCTTCCTGTTCAGGGCGGCGTTGGCGCTGTGTTTGCTCCTCGATCACAGACCGTAAAGTGTCGCACTGGCACTGCCTATCCACATGCCTTATTTGCTGGCAGCATTGCTGAACTTGCTCTTGATCACCCTGTCGATTGTGGATCCCTCGGAGTGCTAACATTGGCCTTGATGTTTGGGATACATATTGCTCACAACTGCTCAAGTCCGCCCTCCGAATCTGCTCTTGGCAGCCTCCGGATCGACTCCTGCTGGACTGCTCATCAAACTCCACGGTAGTGATGGTGGTTCTGTAAGAAGAGGCATTGGCGATGAGTGCCAATAGAAGGCTAGCTAGAACTGCTATTGTCAATAACCTTGCCATTTTTCAGGGAGAAAAGTATTGTGGGGTTAGGTTGGCTGAATGAGGTGATGGGCGCAATGGTTTTTTATAGGGGATTTTGAGCTATGCATGCAGAGAACGTGGAGGTTGGCATGGTTATGCGTGTGATCCGTGATTTTGATGCGGTGGCTATGAATGTTTTGGTGGTTTGGTTGATGCTTACACGTCTAGATCAGCATGCAAATTCTGCCAAGAGATGCTTTGTTTGGTATTCGAGTTTCTTTAGTCATTATCTAAGAGAATATCAAACACGGACGCTCGCGTTGATAATTCTAAGAGTGATGGGGTTCTGCGCTGTCCGGTCGCGGCGTCTCTATTTCCACTTTATTAATTAGGATTAAGCTTGAGGTTTAATTGGCTTATTTACAAGGCCTTTTGATGTGCTTAACTTGTATTGTTAAATGTTATTGTTGCCATTTATTTTTTCTTGCTTATATATATATCTCACATATTAGCACTAGAATGTGTTAGCGTGAGCTGTCAAAGTAGAAAAACTATATAAAAAAATAGGATAGTATTACGTAGAAAAAATCCAAATATCAAGGGAAACTGTTATTTTCACAGTAGAGATTGTATTGAATAGTACACCTTTAGCTTTTTATTTTAAGCTAAATGCTTCAATGTTTTCATGGATAGAGGAAGAGCGCAATCATATGTTTCAAATTTAATATGTTGAAGTTGGTGTATTAATGTATGTAATGGTTTATACGAAATCAGATATTTCACATGTTGTGATCATAGTAAACAAGTATATACATGATCTGGAAAAGGATCATTGACAAGTAGTTAAGTGGATTCTACAATGCATTCATGGCATAACTGATATTGATTTGAAGTTTGAGAGGGATGATAGACTCGGATAAAATTTAGTTAGTTATGTGAACTCGAACTATATTGGTGACTTTGACAAGCGTCATTCCATAACAGGCTATGTGTTTACACTTGCTAAAGAGCCTGTAAGTTAGAGGTCAACGTTACAATCAATAATAGATTTGTCAACAACTGAGATAAAGTACATGGCAGTAACGAAAGCTTTTAAGGAAGTTATTTAGTTACATGGGTTGATTGAAGATTTGAGGATTGTTCAAGAGTATGTGAATTTTTATTGTGATTGTCAAAGTGTTATTTTCCTTGCAAAGAATTAGGTTCATCATTCCCACACCAAGTACATCGATGTTCAATTTTATTTTATTTAAGAAATTATAGATGAAAGGGATATTCTGCAACAAAAAATTGGTACTATAGATAATCCAGTTGGCATGCTCATAAAATGTGTTTCAAGGATCAAGTTTTAACATTATTTGGACTTGATTAACATCTCTTGGTGTTGAGCACCTTCAGGGTGCAGCGCCATATAGCATATTAAAGATGGTATTGATTAATCATGAGGATTGGATGGAAAGCTCTTGCCAAGGGTGAAGATTTGTGGAAATTTGTCTAGATTTTTCCTAATAATTATGTCAACCTCCAACTACCAACTATATAATTATGTCAACCTTCAATTGCCAACCTCTAGTTATTATTATAATGACTCCTTATAAATAGAAGACTTCCTTCATTGTTAAAACTAGATGAGAGAGTGAGATCAATAGAGAGATGAAGATAGTGCAACTGTGAGAATGAGTGAGTAGATTTAAGAAAAATATCGAGTGTAAGAATGAAACATTAAATTTTATGGGATTGTATTGAATTGAGTTAAATGTTTATATTATTACTATAATAACATATAATCTACTACCTCTCTGAATATTCCTGATTTTTTAGAACCACTTAAATATGTTTGTTTGTGTGTTTTATGTATGTTTGCTTTAGGTCCAATAAGTAATTCTAATCCTATACAAGTTAGTTTAATTTATCAAGGATTTTTATAAATGAATACTAATATAAACCAAATTTCTTATTTACATGAATCCTAGCAAAGCTAAACTACTTGGTTAGTTTAATTTATTAAGGATTTTTATTCTAAATAAGATTATTTTTTCTAGTAATTTACTTTAGTAGCCTTGAGGTTGTGAGACTCGAACTTGTAACTTTCAGAGAGTAAACTCAATACCTGACCAGTTGAGCTATACCTTTTATGATTAAATATTCACATTTATACATGTTAAATTTCATAGATATTGTCACACATCAACAAATCCACGCGGTGGAGGCTCCATGATTTTTCTCTCTGTTATATTTGATTTGATCTTGTTAGATTCGTTAGGAATCGTCACCTAGTATTTAATTGAGGGTTACTAGGAAACCCAGTTGTACTGGTCTTGTTAGAGATTCACGGGTAAGGGACCTGTTGTGGTTAGGGAAGATATTAGCACCCCTAACGCACCCTACCTGAGGTAAGCTGATTCGTGGACTTGATGTGTTAAATAAGTTTTAAAAATTTTATCTTTTCATCGGATTTTAGAAATACAACTTCCGTGCAAATTTGTACTTCTACACCGTGATCCAATCAAAATATTAAATCCTTTTTTATTCTATGTGAATAGTGCTCATAAGCAATGGCGGCGTGTTGCTCCACGCACCGCCGGGAAAGCAACCGGTCAAAATTGGCTTCTTCTCCTCTTCTGCAATGGTGTTGACACACACTATTACCTGTAAAAAAAAAGAACAAAACGCAACAGCAAGTTTTTCCCTCTTCCCTTCTCGTCTTTTTTTAGATCTGCTTCCCACAGATATGTTTGGTCTTCATTTTATTCTCTGTTTTAGGTCACCAGCAGGGAAGAGGAAATGTTGGGCGGCGACTGGTGGAGATGGAGGTCATGGCTGATGAGAGACAGCCTGGTGCACGACTGGCCGAATGAGGGAGATTTTGGTGAGGGGCTGTGGCTATCGGTTGTCTTCGCTCCTGTTAGTGGTCGACTGGAGAAGAAAATCAGAACCAGGGGGGAACGCTGCCGCTGACAGCCAAGACTGGCTGAGAGGAGAGTGAGAGGGTGGTATGTTCATGGTGGCCGGGTCGGCTGGTTCTCGGTGCTGGTGCTAGTCTTCGACCGCCGCTGGGGAAGGAGAAGGATGACGTTACTGCTGCCACCGCTAGGTTAGCCGAGAGAGGGAAGAACACAGAAAGAGCTGGGAGCAGGAGGTGTGGCGGCAACAGACTTCTATGGATGAAGAAAGCTGAACAAGCCGGCTGGGAAAGGGAAGCTTATATGCAGGAAAATGGGGAGACCACCGGCTGTTGTGGGGAAGAAGCAAATCAAAGGGAAAGGCAGAGATATCCCTAGGGGTTGCCGTTTGGGGCAGAAAAAATCCAGCCAGGTGGGGGACGGCTGCTGGCCTTGAAAGTGATAGTTTAGGGCTCGTCTTTCCTCTTTTTTTTTGTCAAAATTGCCCCTCCTTGTGCATGTTGAAGGCTGTTATTTATTGGCAAAATGTTGCTTGGTTTTTAAAATTGGTCCCTCAACTTTTTTTGTTAAATTTTGATTTTTTTTTATTTGTTTTTGTATTTTTTGAAAACAAGTAATATCAACATCGGCTAAATGAGAAAAATCAATGATTATAAATATAACGCGCTAAAAGTTGAATGCGTTTCAAATATCTTTAAAAATTTAAATTCTTTTGAGATGACATTGAAAATTCTAAAAACGATGCAAATATATTGAAAAACGTATTTTTTTTTATTTTTGTTATTTTTCTCTATTTTTTTTAGATTTTCTAAAAATTTATCAAAATATGAGTTAAAAATTGGAGAATAACCCAGAATTAGGTCATGATAGATATACAGAAGTTTTCATATATAATTAATATTTGGGATCTCGAAGATCACTAATATTTGGGAAATGTAAGGATAGAGTCTTGTCTGTAACACCAATTTTAATGCTACCTATCATCTGAAATGATAAATTCCAAATTACATGTTGAGCCCGTTTGTCAATTTTACACTTGCATTGTTCAACAACTTTTCAGAAGTCTCAACCGTTTCTGATGGTCTTTTCCTTTCACCTACAATATTCGAATTGAATCTTGCTACAGCGTGTGCTAAGATCACTCTTATTGCAATTTTTCTGGTCCACTTCCAATCATTTTTAACAGTAAAAAGTATGCTGGCCAAGCCATTGTAGTGTGATAATTAACATTCACAATGATAAATTGCAAATGTAACGAATGACATGTTAGAGTTAGCTAATTCCAGGGGCAATCCAGTTCAATGTATATTAATGATAATGTAAGGGATATGGATCGACGAACATTCAAGCACTTCAAATCCTTTTTTTTTCTTCTTTTTTTACTTTTCAGAATATACTTTGAAGCTTTTCTTATATAAACCAAGATTCAAAATTAGCATCTTAGAATTTGGCATTACAATGCTTCATTGCAGAGTTGCTTAAGGCTTATTCATCGAGGAATAAGTTTTCGTTTGGTTTACCGATTAACAATGTGAATTGTGATAATTAATAAAAATTAGAAGTCCAAGCAAATGATAATTAGAGATGACATGTTGCCACTGTATATCATCTAGCCAAGCTGCTGCGTTGCTTTTTTACTGCATGCGTACGTTTTACATGAGCCGATAAACTCGAAAGGTAGACGTACTTTTATTATGGCGCAAGTACCTGCATAAACAGCCTGATCGACGTGCTAGACTTACTTTTATTGCCTAAGTGCTTGCATAACAGCCTGATGTGACTATTATACATGCATACCGCTCACAAGCCACTCTACGAGTGAGTGAACTTCGCTAACTAGCTAACACATCATATGATCCTAAAACAGCATCTAGAACCAGATTGATAGGGATTGACAATCGGGCAAGCTGCACTGTCTTTGTATCTCGGTTGCCCTCCTCTGTACTTCCTGCGTCTCTTCCTGTTCAGGGCGGCGTTGGTGCTGTGTTTGCTCCTCGATCACAGACTGTAAAGCGTCGCACTGGCACTGCCTATCCACATGCCTTATTTGCTGGCAGCATTGCTGAACTTGCTCTTGATCACCCTGTCGATTGTGGATCCCTCGGAGTGCTAACATTGGCCTTGATGTTTGGGATACATATTGCTCACAACTGCTCAAGTCCACCCTCCGAATCTGCTCTTGGCAGCCTCCAGATCGACTCCTGCTGGACTGCTCATCAAACTCCACGGTAGTGATGGTTGTTCTGTAAGAAGAGGCATTGGCGATGAGTGCCAAGAGAAGGCTAGCTAGAACTGCTATTGTCAAAAACCTTGCCATTTTTTAGGGAGAAAAGTACGGTGGGTTTAGGGTTGATGAATGAGGTGATGGGCGCAATGGGTTTTTATAGGGGATTTTGAGCTATGCATGTAGAGAACGTGGAGGATGGCATGGTTAATTATGCGTATGATCTGTGATTATGATGCGGTGGCTATGAATGTTTTGGTGGTTCGGTTGATGCTTACACGTCTAGATCAGCATGCAAATTCTGCCCAGAGATGCTTTGTTTGGTATTCGAGTTTCTTTAGTCATTATCTAAGAGAATATCAAACACGGACGCTCGTGTTGATAATTCAAGAGTGATGGGTTTCTGCGCTGTCCGGTCGCAGCGTCTCCGTTTCCACTTTATTAATTAGGATTAAGCTAGAGGTTTAATTGGCTTATTTACAAAGGCCTTTTGATGTACTTAATTTTTTTTTAGTAATATAAATGTCTGATAAATTTTAAAATTAATGATTATATGATCTATATAAACTTTTAATTAATAAATTTAAAATTTATAAAATTTAAATCAATAATTTTTAAAAATAAATATAAAATCTGATAAGCTAAGTTAATTCATTTTTGCGCCTGCCTACTAGCCTGAGGTTGGTGCTTAACTTGTATTGCTAAGTATTGTTGTGGCTGTAAAATTAAGTATACAAAACAGCTTTAAAATTTTATCAACCACTGGACATCAAATAAATCCACGCTTCCGATATCGACAAAAGCATTGTCATGTGTTGCCTTTTTTTTCTTGCTTATATATATATTATTTATAATATGATATATTATTTATAAATTAAAAAATAATACAGGCGAAATATATATATATGTATATATATATATATGCAGTATAGCAATTTTGTATTGGAAATTAATTTAATGTATTTATAATATGATATATTATTTATAAATTAAAAATAATACAGGTGAAATATAAAAAAAAATTATTGAGGGGGTAACTCAATAGAATTAAATTGGGAAAATAAAAAAAAATTAAAAAAAGAAAGATAAAAAATAAGACAACATCAATTTAGAAAAAGAGAAAAAAATAAACGAAACTCTTAAATATTGTCAAATCTTAAAAAGCTCGCAATTTATGAAACCCTGGATCCGGGTCCCATCAGTAAGTTTATTATAAGCCAATTTAAAAATTTAAATTTAAAAAACTAGTCAAAGCAAAAAAAAATTAACAAAAAAACCTTAAGCAAACTCTGCAACCAACTAGGGTCAACAAATCAAATACATGACCTAAAACATGAAATTAAGATAATTCTATAAATAGAAAAGAAAAAAACACTGATAAAAAAAATATAAAAAATGCTTTACAAAAACAGAAGTCAACCTGAGCTAATCCTTCACTTATTCTTAAATAAAACCTTGTGACTTTATTAAAGGTAAATTTGAAAAAATAAAAAAATAAAATTCTTAATCAAACAAAAATTAAAGGATGAAATTTAGGGGGAAACCATTATAAAAGCAATGAAAACAATATATATATATATATATATATATATATATC